GGGTGCGAAGGACTGGGATGGGGCTTCCCGTCAGCTCAAAGCCCAGCAGCTTGTGGACACAGGAGATGGGCACAGGGCTGAGCCCGCTCCCTCCCTCCAGGCACAGTCTCAGGGGTGGGGCGTGAAGAAGCCCACACCCGGCCTCCGGGAGGGCAGGCTCTTCCTGTCTGACTCTGCGAAAGCTGTCTCATTTGTAGCCTAAATAATTCACTCCCCGACCTCTCAGGGAGCATTAGAAGGAAAACAAAACCCGACCCAGACCTCCTGCTCAGGTTGCGGCTGCACGGGAGGCAGGCCAGGAGGCTGGGCAGAAGACCTAGGCTGCAGAGATGAGAGCTGGCCCGCCTTCACAGGTCCACTGGGGCTGGCAACCTTCCAAAAACAGCCTGGGGCCTGGTTCTGCACAGCACTCAAGCTGAGAATAGTTTTTACATTTTAAAAAGTTCTTTTTTAAAAAACAAAACAAATAGAGAAACACCAAAGGAAAATATACCAAAGAGACTTTCTGTGGCCTGTGAAGCCTAAAATAGTTATCACCTGGGCCTTTCCAGAAAGTTTGCTAACCCCGATCCACTCCCCAGCCTTGAAGGTGATGACCTTTGACCTACCCCTTGACCACCTCGCCCCGTGACGACTGTGCACAGAGCTTCAGTCGCTTCAGTCGTCAGAATTCTGATATTTACAGTCTAGTGAGAAGCTGGTATCATTGTTCATCCCAGTTTTAGTCCTACTGCACAGGGTGGGAGGGAGGGAGGGAGAGAGGCAGGCAGGGACTGAGACTCAAGCCCAACCCATCGCCTGAGGGTCAGAATTCAGCACTGTCCACCCCTCTCCGCTGGTACTGACACCCCCCTTCTCCAGGCCCCCCCACACTCTGCATCCCAGCCATCCCAGCTGAGCCCAGCAGTCACTGAGGCTGGAATTCTCTTACTGATGAGCTACCCAAGTCGCCTGGCTCTCAGTCCTTGAAGCCTGTGTGTCTACCCGGGAACCCTGGGCAGAGGTTCCACCCAGCCCAGCAGGACCTTTGAAGGGCTGACCAGCTTGGACCCCACCCAGACCCTCTCTTAGCGCCCGAGAGGTACAGCCTAAGGATTCTGGAAGAGATGGGTCAGAGTGGGCAACAGGGCTGCCAGCTCAGTGTCGCAGCTGTAACTGGGCTCGGTGACTCTGGGCTGTCATGGGGCCCGAGGGCAGAGTGGAGATCCAGTGGCCCCACATCCAGGTGTGTCGGCAATCTGGATCATTTCAGGTAGGAGAGCAGTGACCTTGGTAAAAAATTCCTGCTGTAGAATCTCCCGAGAGAAATGTTGCTGCTGTCCAGCCAGGTCTTTGAAGGTTCCTCTTCCAGAGATAAAAGCAACATGGGCCCTAGCTGGCTTGGCTCAGTGGATAGAGCGTCGACCTGAGGGCTGAATGGTCCCGGGTTCGATTCCCGTAAAGAACACACGCCTGGTCTGCGGGCTCAATCCCCAGTAGGAGATGTGCAGGAGGCAGCCGATCAATGACTCTCTCCTATCATTGATGTTTCTCTCTCTCTCTCCCTTACTCTCTGAAAAAAAAAAAAAAAGGCAACATGGAAGGCCAGTGGGAATCCCACATGCCTGCCCAAGTGAAAAGGTCAGTAGTCAGAGAGTTGGAGACCCAAGCTGTGAGACCTTGGGCAAGTCACTTCACCTCTCTGGGACTGTTTCCTCACCTGTTCAAACAAGCAAAAACTCGAGGTGTTTGGATGGCGGTGATTGAAGGTCCCGTCCATCCCTTGCCCAACAACGAACAGCCCAAACCGGGCCCCCCGTCTGCAGAAGCTCCGCTGGAAAGTTTGGCTTCATCTCTGCGTCCCTTCCGCAAGTCAAGCCAGTCCCAGGCAAAGGCTGTGCAGCCAGTCTGCAGAGGGACACACGTCTTCCTTCAACACGTTAGCAGTTCACTGGGTTTTTGGACCCATGTGAGGGAGAGAAGTGGTGGGTGGTCAATGTGACCTCTTGTCTCTGTGCCCGGTGACCGGGGAGTGGCTGCAGAGCTGTGGGAGTCTCAGCCCCTCACCCCCAACATGCCCACAGCCTACGGCCCAGAAGCCACCGTCTGGTACCACACGCTCATGATCTAAAGCGTCTTTCATCAATTCTCCGACTTGACTGGACACTCCTTGAGGGCAGGTGTTGTATCGTGCCCTTCTGCTGTGTCCCCCAGGAGAGCCCAGCGCAACACTCGGTCTGTGGCTGGACGTCTGTCCATATCCGCCGAGCAGCTTAACTGAAACGCCCCTGGGAAAGGCGATGCTGCCTCTGACCTGGGGCGTGTGTCCAGGTAAGCGAACCTCCAGACTTGCCGGCTGATAACTGGATACCATGCTTCCGTCCACGGGTCAGTCAAGCTGTTCTGCCGAGGCCATGACCCCAAGAACTACCGTGTCACCTAGAGAGCAAGTGAGGGGAGAAGGTTAGAGAAGGGAACGAACACTCCCAGGATCATGCCGGTCATGCGGGTCATTGCTGCCGTCCCTTCCCAGCCTGGGAAAGCGTGGCGGGGTGGCCCGTGCAAACCTAAGTCAGGCTCCTCTCACCACACAGGGTGCTTCCGATTAGTTACCGAAATTGCAGGCACAGAGATCCGCAGCCCTACAAACCCAACCTTAGGAAGTGACAGGCTGGGCGTGGTGGCTTCATTGGTTGGAGCATTGTCCCACACACCAAAAAAGGTTGAGAGGTCAATTCCCAGTCAGGGCACAGACCCAGCTGGTGGGTTCCATCCCCAGGGAAGATGTGGATGGGAGGCAACCAATCGAGGCTTCTTTCTCACATCAATGTTTTTTGTTCTCTCTCTCTCTTCCTTCTTCCCTCTCTAAAATCAATTTAAAAAGCATATCCTTGGGTGAGGATTAAAAAAAAGATATAGCCCTAACCGGTTTGGCTCAGTGAATAGAGCATCAGCCTGTGGACGCCAGGGTCCCAGGTTCGATTCCAGTCAAGGGCATGTACCTTGGTTGTAGGCACATACCCAGTGGGGAGTGTGCAGGAGGCAGCTGATCGATGTTTCTCTCTCATCGATGTTTCTAACTATCTACCTCTCTCCCTTCCTCTCTGTAAAAAAACCAATAAAATATATTTTTTAAAAAAAAGATATAGTGACAATGTTACCAGCTCTGTGGGGAGGGCCTCCCTCTCTTCTGGTCTTGAATATTCTCAGAATGGCTGTCTCCTTGCCTAGAGAAAGGGAAGCTCTTCTTTATATGGAGGCTGTAGCTCCCTCTGTTCTGTGCTCTGAAAATGTTGCTCATTCGGAACCCTGAAGGCAGCCTTCCCTCCTGTGTGTTTGTGTGTTTGTTTGTTTTCTGTGTGTGGGAGTGACCGGGGAAGGCAGAGATAGAGTTCTGGCTTGCCCCACGGTACCATCCTTTGTACAAATGGCGACGACAGAGCTACGGACTGGTTAACCGTGACCCTCATGGACTTGCTCACGAGTCTGATAACATTTTCATTACCGCTTGCTCTGTGAACCATGAATTCTCCCGGGTCACAGCCTGGCAAGGCAATTAGGCTAGCAGTGGTTCTCAACCTTCTGGCCCTTTAAATACAGTTCCTCATGTTGTGACCCAACCATAAAATTATTTTCGTTGCTACTTCATAACTGTAATGTTGCTACTGTTATGAATCGTCATGTAAATATCTGATATGCAGGATGGTCTTAGGCGACCCCTGTGAAAGGGTCGTTGGACCGCCAAAGGGGTCGCGACCCACAGGTTGAGAACCGCTGGGCTAGAGGAAGGCAGGTGTGAGCCACGGGGAGCTGGGAATCCTGGGAGTGTGGGACGGGGTCTGCGGCAGGGGTGGCCGGGCAGAGTGGCTACAGCAACGTCCCCTCTGAATTATCTAGATAATTGCCTCAACTCTCTGCTTTGTTCCTTCGGACCTGCCGTTTTCCAGGTGGCAAACTCGCTCCAGGCAGAGGAGGCAACCAAGGCAGATGACGCATCAGGAAGTTTGCTCAGAAGGACAGGGGCTCTGGCTCCAGACCCCAGAGTCAAGACAGACCTGGGGGATTGTCTAGGGCTGTGCCCACATGATTTTCAGGTCCCTCCTTAGGACACTGACATCTCCCAGGGCTCCTGCGCCCCCTTTTCCGTCCCAGGTGGAAGGGGAGCGGGAGGGGATGAAGTATCCACTGGTGGGTACCTTGGTGGTTTTGACCTTGTGTCCCCGGCTGCAGCTCCACCCCGACAGGTCCGGCAGCACCTTGCACTCCTCCCCCGGCAGGCAGGGCTCCATCTGGCACCACCACCTCTGCAGGACGATGGAGGCTGTGGGAGCAGAGCAATGGAGGCAGCACTAAGCTCTCCGGGAGTACAGCGTGTGGTCAGGGCGGGGGGTGGGGGGCGGTCTGTGTGGGATGAAGTGCCCACCTGCACACACCCCTGGCTTGAGCCCTGCAGTTCCCTGTCTTTCCCCTACTCGGGCTGCCCAGAAAGGCCCGGGCACACAACCGTGTCAACCTCAACCCACTGACCCCGGCATCTCACCAAAGACAGTGTGGGGAGAAGGCAGGGGGCGCGTGTCGAAGAAAAACCCTCAAGCTGAGCCACCAGGCCATTAGCAGAGAGGCTCAGTCCCAACACGCCCCTTGGAGTATGTGAGCAAGTGTGCGCGCCGTTCAGAGGGGTCCACAGAGCAGGCGTGCACAAGCAGGTGGGCACGTTTATAGTGCTGCCACTCGAGCGTGAGAAAATGGCATGGGTGGGGCCTGGGGAAGGGAATAGGCCAGGAGTGAAGGAATGTGCAGACGAGGGACTCCCACGTGCCCATGTGAGAGGGGGCAGAGGTCCATGTGGAGGAGGCCTGGGAAGGAGGCCACGAATGCAGGAGTGAGCGTGAGGCGACGAGTCTAACGGGAGGTGAGAGGATCCGTGTGAGGGGGCGCGTCTGTGTGTATGCCAGGCAGTGGGTGCCAGGCAGTGGGTGCCAGCCGGAGGGAGGTTTCTCATCTATGAAATGGGATGGTCACGTCTGCCCGCCCCCAGAGGTTGCCCCATCATCTGAGAGCTGACATGGAAACCCTGAGATGAGTAGGAAATTGTATCCCCAGCAGATGGCGAGGCCGAAAAGACAGACCTTCTTATCTCTCCCATCAGGCCCTCCCGCCAGTCCGGCCTCCCGCTCACCGTCCACGCAGGAGGGCTTTGCCCGCGTGGTGCCAGCCACCTGGCCGGAGGAGCAGGAGCACTTGACGGTCTGGGAGCGCTCCTCGATGCGGTTCCGGTTGCAGCAGCGGTGAGAAGCCGTCACCTCGCAGGTGCCCTGCTTCACGGGGACTGGAGGGACCAGCAGAGGATCAGGCCTGTGACCCTGCTCTCCCCCCCACACCTGGGCACTCCTCCACCCCCTCCTCCCACCTCAGGGGAGGGGGAAATGGAGGAAATCTTCCTGCTGCCTCCGTGTTCCAGTCCTTCCTGCTTCCCTAGTGAGGCCACACTCATCCCACTCATGGCCTTGGGCAGAAGATGAAGTCCCAGCCAACCCACACCTCCCAGCTTCCTCCCGGAGGGCAAGGGCCGGGACTTACAATGCGTGGGAAGGATCATCCGCTTACACAGGCTTTACCATCCCAGAAGGAAAACCACAGAATTAGGCCAGGAGGCTAGACTTAAGCCCCCACCGGGGGCCTCTCTCCCTGCAGAACACCTTCTGGCCTGAAGGGGAAGGTGAGAATGGCTCTGCCTACGTTTTCTGGCCAGGACAGCAGAAGGGGGGGGGGGGGCGGTTTCTTGGGTGAAGAGCAGAGGAGGAGCCAGAACTCCTAGAATCTGTGGGCTTTACTCAGCCTCAGAGGAGATCTGCCTGCTGTAGAACGGGGTGGGGTGGTGTCCAGCTCTCCAGTATCCTGGGAAACCTCTCCCCAGTCCCACCACCTCCCCCAAACCTGTGGGAGTTGGAGGCTGCAAGGAAGCCGAGGCCAGGAGGGTCCACAGCCAGACCAGGCAGAGTGCCAGCAGCCAGCCGCCCGTGCTCCAGTTCCGCGCGGCCCTCTCACGCATCCTGCAGAGAGAAGCGCACACCTTGCTCCGACTCCAAGCACAAGCAACCCCAGCCCCAGCGCCTCTCACATGTGCGCTAGGAGGTGGGTAGGGTGCACACCTCGTCCCCAGACATCGCCCAGCCTGGCACAAACTCACTGTAGAAAGTAGGGAGTGCTTTCCTAGCTGAAAAGGGAGCAGCAAGGGAGACTGTCCTGCTAGAACACTTTGTGGGGGTGACAGTTAGGAGGGGCCTTGAAGGGTGAACCAGACAGGGTCCCAGGGAGGGCTGTGACATGGGAGGAACAATAATGCCGACTCCCAGTTTTGGAGCACTTGACCCAGGCACGTCCCAAACAGGGTCTTGAATCCTCCACAGCTGTCCTACAAAGTCGAATGACTTGTACCTATTTTACAGATGAGCAAACTGATACTCAAGAAGCCCAGATAGACACTAAACAGTCATCAATCAAGGACTGGCTAAATGGTTCGGGGAGCATTGTACAAATGCAGTCCCGTCCAGGCAGCTGGGGGAAAGAATGGGTAAACACTTTATGTGCCAGGCATGCAAAGATCTCTAACGATAATCCACCATTAAACGGGGGCGGGGGAGCAAAGTGCAGGACGGTGTGTATAAAACGTGTAAAAGGGAGGGAGTATATGTGTGGTTCAAATAGGCATAAGCTAGCTCTGAAAACGTTCAAAACAACCTGATAACATTGGTTGTCACCAAGAAGGGGAACTGGTTGGCTGGGAGACAGAAAGGTAGAGAGAGACTTATTTTTGTCCCTGTCCCTTTTACATGTTGGGTTTTGAACCTAGCAATTCAATTTAAACAAATTTAAATTTAAAAAGGAAGAAATGAAACGGAGGCTAATAGAAGTCAAACGACTTGCCCAAGGCCAGGCAGCGTGTGGGTGGCACAGCCGGGGAGCCCAGAAGCCTGCCCCACTCCCACTGCACCCCCTTGCTTCGGCTCCCCTCCCCTTTCCTTCTCCTCCTCTATCCTCAATGGTTTGGGCCGCCCAAATCCACCGAGAAGATGGGCTAGAAATGGAGAGAATCCCAGGGAAGCAGAGGCACAGAGCTGGCAACAACAGAGGCCAAACCCAATGCCAGGACCTGGCTGCTCCCTTGGTAGGGTGCTGGGTCTCCCTACACCCCATCCCCCCACCTTCAATGACCTCCTAACTCACCTTTATTGGGCGCTTTCAGCTTCTGTCTGTTCATCCACTGGCCTCAGGCTCACTCTACCTGGACGAGCAGGAAAGATGCTTCAGGGGCTGCAAGGGACCGAGGGAGCCACTGGCCCTTCTGAGGGTGAAAGGGGGTGGGCTGAGCACTGAAGCAGAGCCCAAGATGCCAGTCTCCCCTGTGCCCTGGGAATCTGCAGGGGCCCTTGCAGGCTGTGGGAACGTGTAGGGTGCTGAGCCTCAGAAGAGTAGCTGAGGGAGTTTCTCTGTCCAGGGGGAAAGCAGGGCTGATGGTAGGAGGCGTCTAAGAACCAATGCTGTCACCTGTCTGGCCTTGGGAGTGAGCAGAATCCGACAGGATGCTGCTCAAAGGGGCACGTGGGACAGACCCCAAGGTCCCGAATCCTCTTTGCTTCCACCTCCTACCCCCTCACACCTGCTTCCTGGACTCACCGGAGATGGCTCAACTCTGACACCCTCACCCCCATTCCCACTCCAGGGGGCGAGACGGGGTCCTCCAGCTCTCTGAGCCTCAGAGGCTCCAGCCCCAACAGCTTCTCCGTTTCTTCCTAAGACCTCGCCTCCCTCAGCCTCCAAAGGGAGGTGGACGGAGGCAGGCAGGAGGATGCGGCCGGGAAGAACCCACACCTCTGCATCCTGGGTCCATCCCCCCACC